TTCAGAAGATGTGTAATAGCACCCCCGAGTGTATAACAGTGAAAACACGAAAAGCCGTAAAAACTCGTCTTTGGCGGGGAAGCGTTTTCTTGTAAAAGACGAGATAACTCGTCAATGGCAGGGAAAGAGTTAAAAACAGTCACTTATAAAGGTCCATTTTAGTTCGGATAATGCCTTAAAAGGTATTCTATGTAGGCAGCAGACAGTTCCCTAGGCTCTGCGGTAGAGCAATAGACAAGTTCCTTACATTACTGACAGTAGCAACCTGAAAATGAGACTTTCAATGAAGTAAATGTACTGTGTTTTATTTTGTCTTTTTAATACTGTTCTAGTATTAATGATGCACTCTACCTCCACGGTACACGGCTTCGGAACCAACAGTGCCTGTTCCACTGCGGATGTTCAGGAATTGCTCCCCAACCTGCTTAAGTACGGCATGATCCACACCTACACAATAGCATAAAGTACAAATGACTGACTTAATATCCTTTTTTGGGCCATATTAAATCTTCTCCTTTAATAAGGCAACAATTTCATTACATACCAAGACCAACAAGGGCCATTCTTGCACTTGTGAAGTTGTTCTGAACAAAGGTGTGCATCTGCGTAAAAAAACATAATACAGAGAGCATTAAAATGTAACTTTTTTTATTTGCAAGGTGATATATTTGTGCAGGACTGTTACTTACATGTGTGCTTTACATGTAGTAACTTGGTGCATTACTATTCTACAGCTCTTTTACAACCATGTGAAACCTTAAAGATGAGTGTCCATGTGTTATACAATTCAGACTTATTCAGTTATGATTGATCTTTGTTTGGTTAATGTTCATGAAGTTACAAATAAAAGGATAAAATCCGATGAAGTTACTTTTAAAGGGGTCATGAACTAAGAAACCAAAATTCCCTTGATTTGTCACATAGAGGTCACTGTACTATAAAAACATCCTGTAAGCTTCAGAACTCAAAACTTTGTCATTAGCTTATACTGAAGGCAGTCTGCCAAAACGACAGCTTTTGGAATGTTCTACTATATGATGTAATAGTGCGGATAAGCACCGCCTTCGCAGAAGAAGATCGCCATCCCTGCTGTTTAGATTCACACATGTAGTGTTTACGAGAGAGGCGAACGTGCAGGTCTATGCAGAAACCAAACGATAAAGATGGGTCTGAAGACAAGACGCTGTGCTGTGCCAAGTCTTAGCATTGCCTTCCTTCTGATCCCAACGTTAGGAAAGTGTGAATGAACTTTATTTTTAATGAAGATCCAGACTGCGTCAATAAGAACTCGGTACTTTGTTCACTTCATTGTACTGCGGATTCGTTTACAGACAAGGCACAATTCGACATGGGATTTTCAAAACGATTGAAACTAAAAGATGATGCTGTGCTGACTATATTGGATCCGACAGTCGTTTCGCAACATACAAATGTGAGCAACGTTAACGGTTTTCATTATGAGATCACTATTGCTTTGTCTCTTCTTACAGATCAGGGGCCCGTTCTTCATACATCGCTTATTACATCCGAGATGAAATGTCACATCCAAGATGATATCATCACGCTAATCAGGATCTGGCTAATTCGGTTCTTCGAACGCGCACCTGTTGTTGATGATTAGTATGGCTGGGTTGAGTTATCCGAGATAATTGCACGTTCATGGTTGGTTTAAAAGGGGCTCTGTATCGATGCTCGAAACCACGATCAGCAATGCAGCGATTGGCTGGCGGCAAGACAGCAACTTAATGACATCATATAATAAAAAAAGACACCTGACGAAAAACTTGACACATTTTTGGACTTCTATAAGGAAACAGCCAAGCGAACAAAACTACATAAATGTCATAATAGATAAATGAAATGTGCAGTTTTTATTTTATTTAAATTTTTTACACGATTCCCAATTATTCGCGATTTCTAATATTTGTACAGGCTTTACATTTTTATTTCGATGTAGTAATTAGCAATTCATTTAATTTTATATTTGAACAGATTTGTTACGTGACCATTAATTAAAGTTTCTTAAGGGTCAAGGTCATGTTATCTGCATCTCCTGCGCTCCACCAAGCCACTCCCATAATATCTGTCATAACTCAAATTAATGCACGACTCTACATTATCTGTATAGCATGTGTGTAAGACTCGAATACAAGTATGAAGTAATAATTTTATGATGAATAAATCTTTCAGTGAGTAAAACTGGCTGTGTCTGTAGTATTAAAGTCTACACAACATTATTATATTATCTTTAAATTCATTTTTAAATGATTATTATTTTTAAATTATTGTCCCTGGATTATTAGGGTACTCTTGTAATAAAGTAGCGGTGGTAGAGGACAGATTTTAAGTATCAATTCTGCTTAAAAAGATGCAATCTAATCCTGTTTACATGAAATAAGCCTGCTCCCAAGCAGGTTTAAGCTTAAGGACCTGTTGCTACGACAGCAACTCCGGGATGAGCTTCGAAGAACCAAACAATCCAAGATCATGCCAAATCATCAACAATCAAATCCAGCTAACTGAGTTAGCGACGTATGAAGAACGGGCCCCAGATCGTTTGATATGTATTGAGTTATTTATTTTTAAAACCTAAATCACAGCGGCGTCCATCTATGAGGAATGAATGTACACTGTAAGCCAATCATTGAAGTGGGCGTTTACTTCCAAGTCTACAATCTGCCACACCTATTCAAATAGAGCGTTCTGATGAGGGGGGTTAAAAACAGGGCAGAAAATAGCTAAATTATGATATTTTTTATGTAAAAATCTTGATAACATTATAAGTGGACCGCAGAGAACAGTACAAAATAAAAACCAGTTCATGGCCCTTTTAATTTCTTCAAAATATGAAAATCAAAATAATTTATTTATTCAATTTCCAGCGGAAACTATATCACGATATTTATTGTTACTATGATATGAAATGACGCATAATTTGGACAAGACTCAAATGCTACAAAAAAGATTCAAATGAATTTGTACAACAATACAGAAAACATTAATGAGCCATATCCATTTGTTTTCCCTCCAAAACGTTGCCTTACCTGTTCTGTGGTGATTTGGCCGAGCATGTAGTCTGGACAGTATAAGGAATTGGACAGGGCATTCTTATAAGCTGCAGCATGCAAAATCTCAATGACACCTGAGGCACAAACAAACAGATGAAGAATGGAAACAGAAATCAGAGACATTATGACCGCTAACCAACCTCCGTCAATCATATGACAAAATTCCTGTATTAACAAACAGTTATTTATCAAAATGAACCCTCTGGGGCCAAACGTGTGATACTTGGCAGTCAAAACAGACCAAGACCAAAAAAAAGCGTGACGTCGTTATTTTTAATGAAATGAATGTTATATTTTGTATCAAAATGTTGATATTTACCTCTAACTTATGCACTAATTATTTCTATATAAAATAAATAAAATATGAGAAAAATAATATAATATTTATAATAACATTTTTTATAATATAGTAGTAGTATATTTTTATTTAATGCCATGTCAGCATCTTAGGCTATTTTCATGGCAAAAACTATTTAAAAAATACAAGTATAACAAATACAATAAAAACCAGCAAACAAACAAACACAAGTTATATTACACAAGATTTTTTACATTAACATATGATAAAATATTTTTTAAAATTCTGGCATAATTATACTAAATAACTCTTTAAGTGAGTATAATATCTATAATAACAGTTTCAATTAATACGGTGTTTGATTCATATTTAAATATTTATTTATTTTTAGGTTTTATAGACATTAAGACATTTTTGAAGATTATTTAATTAAGGCCGACTTGTAGAATGTACCCAAAAAGAGTGTAGTTTTCTATTTTTCTATTCACGTCCACAATTTTTTGTATGTTCATACAGCAAGTGACCTAAAAGTCAAGTTTTGTACCATTCTAATGAGGCAAAACAATGAATTTAAATACAAAACGCAAAAGCTTTCAGTCTTAAATGACTGCCAGAGGGTTTAAACACTGCATACCAATCTGAGGAGTCTGCTTGGCAAGTTCCTTATCCAGTTTCACCCTGGCAGTGAGGTCTGACACTTCCCATGGCCGAAACTCCGGCGCAGTGGTCACATTGATCAGATACTCCATAACAGTGTCACTGCGAGAACACAGACAGACAGACAACATATTTGTTTCCAGTAGAAGAAAAGATCATACAGACAAACTAATGTGTTCTACTCACATATGATCTCTCAGACAGTCTACAGTGTATGCCATGGTTTCCCTGGAACTTGACACACTGCATGTAAAAATATAATATAAACATTTACTCACATAACATAACAGATTTGTGTATAATAATGCACCATATATATATTAAGCCAGTGGTTCTTAACGGGTGGGTTGCAAATCAAAAGTGGGTGGCAGATCTGTTGTGGTTTTGAGCAGTCAAAAAAAGTCAAATAAGCTAAAGGTAAACCTGGGTCCTGATGCGAAGCCAGCTGAAAACCACTCTATTATGTCACATACCATACATATTATAGATAACAGATTAGGGCTGTCAAAATGGCTGAAAAACTAAATTCGAATTTTGTACTTAAATATTATCAATATTCTAATTTAAAAGGCATAATTTCTGGTGGGGGGGGGGGATTTTGGCTTCTCTCCTGAGGCCACATCGCAGAAAATATTATGCACATTTCTTCAAAGCATAATAAAATAACACAACTATCTTTGAAAAAAGTGCATAATGTTTATAAACCTTATATAATTAAAGTTGCTTAAACAATTAGAAACAAAACAGAATCATGCATGTATGTATAGTTTAATACAAAGGACCGAAAACCAATCACAAAGAGTACTTTCTTCATTTAAAAACTTGAGATGCAGTGGGATGGGGAAAAACCGCCATAAAGTCTTTTAACTTTACATGGCTTTCTAAACATGCAGCTCTTTTGTGTGAGACGCGAGTGCAACGGTGATAGACGTCCCTCTAGAAAATGTGACATATGCGTTCTGTGTGAACGGCTTGGTTTCGGTTTTGACGTAAACAGCATTTTCTCCGCATTGATGTTCTTTTTTTCCCACAATATTTTGAATGAAGAATGCAGCAGCGCTGCGGGTTCAACTGGATAGGCTAACAAAAGCATTAAAATGCAATGACACTTACATCGTCATCGCATCTCGTGCGCCACTGATAAAGCTGCCTGACGCACACCTAAAATTCAAATGCAACGTTTTTGCATTCGAATGTGGATTTTTATTTGAAATTCGACGAATATTGACAATCAGTAAAAATTGACAGCCCTATAACAGATGTTTAGAAGAAGCTGTTCAGTGACAACGATAAACTGACCTCAAGCTTCCCCCTACAGCCTCAACACCGCGGCAGATCTTGAAGGCAGACGCTCCCTTGGTTGTCTGGAATCAGAAGTATAGAGAAGTGAATGCTGCACAAAAGCAGTACAGCGGTCAAACACAGAGTCATGATGGATATATACCAGACTGGCAGCCAGACGAAGCAAGTGTGAGACACCGAGGTTGTCGATCGTCTCATATCGACTTCCAGCCCTGACGAGCACACCAATCCGAGAAGCAGGAGAATAGTTTTCCAAGGAAGCAATCACTAACCCGCTAGGCAATTTAGTCACCTGGAAGAGACCAAAAAAAAAAAGATTGAATGTAATTACACCCTCCAATTTGTACTGGTTACGTATATCATTGTTTTGTTATTTTCAAGTGACTAATGATATACTGCATCGATACAATGCATAAAAAAAACTTTTTAAACGATATATTTTTATATATTTATAAGATATACTAGCAGACTTGTTTGACCAAAATTTATTATATATTGTATGATTTGATTTGTTTTATTGTTCTGTATAAATGTATTCTTTTAACAGCTGGAGTATCTCATTTTGTTGTGGAAGTCCCAATTGGGATAAAGGATTTGCAATTTTCCAAGTTAATTTAATCAACCAAAAACAATTAAATGTTTGTTATATTCTGGTGCATTTGTGAGTTTATAAGAATGCAATCAGTTGTGTGAAAACCAGTTGGCACATAATATTGTAATATTTATACATTGATTGCAGGCCACTGAATTTGATGATGACATTTTAATCGTATCAAAGCATGTTTTGCAGATATCAGCATTTTAATTCAAAGTTCCTCTATAACACACAATTAATATTAATTTGTCTAAATATCAAGTAAATACCTAAATAAGCAACCATACTATTTGTATTTAGATTTTAATAATGCATTTAAAAAAACATTTCAGGTTTGAACCCATTCACATTTGATAATATACAAAACAGTTGGGCTGTTCCTAGAAAAATCTGTTGTTATTTATAATGAAAAAAATAATGGTTGTAATACCACTTAAAGAGATTTATTCAGTTTATAATTATTTCACAATTTCACTTAAAGGGGTCATATGATGTTGCTAAAAAGAACATTATTTTGTGTAATGAAATGTGTTTATGCGATTTAAGGAAAAAAAAAAACATATTATTTTCCACATACTGTACATTATTGTTTCTCCTCTATGCCCCGCCTTTTTGAAACACGTCGATTTTTACAAAGCTCATCGGTCTGAAAAGCTAGGTGTGCTCTGATTGGCCAGCTATCCAGTGCGTTGTGATTGGCCGAATTCCTCAAGCGTGTGACGGAAATGTTACACCCCTTACCATACTATGATGCCCTGTCAGGCCAGAGCGACGAGACAAAACCAGTAAAACCCATTATAAATGAGGCATTTGTTGCATCCAGTGGGGACATGATTACGGATTATAATGACTCATACTGTCTTTTTACGCGTTGCGATGCATCGCACGGCGGGCTTGGAGTGAGCGGCGGTGGGCGGGCTTGAGAACGGCGCGGCCGGCGGATTTGACGAAGGAGCATCCGGCGAGCTTGCGGCAACCACATGTGACGACCCCGGGCTGGACTCCGCTTTGTCCAAGGTGAAAGCCGATCCGGCGATCCACAGCGCAAAGTTGATGTATTTCCTCAGCGACCAGCACGGATCAGCTCCAGGCATGACGAAGTGGATATCGTCTTCTTTTGGAAGGCCAAACAAAGTAGTTTCGCTTTCACAACGAAACACACAGCGCCTTCACGACATGGAGGTGGTGGCAACAACAATACTACAGTGAGAATAAAAGTTACGCCTTCTTTCTTTGCGTGAACATTTGGGCGGTGTTATGCAAATCTTCCCACATCGTGACGTAGACATGTGGGGGCGTGTTAGAATGAGCCGTTTTAGGTAGGCGTGGCTGACTCTTAACTTTTATAAAGAATATCTCTTTGGATTTGAGACTTTAGTCTTTGCAACTTTACAGATCTTCTTTATGAATCAAGAGCTTGTAACACTCCAAAGAGAAAGGAAAAATTTAAATCGCCTCATATGACCCCTTTAACATTCTAATAAACATTCTGTGGTGATTCATAACGAAAACTGCCTTGACAGTATTTAACAGTTTAATAAAATATATTTGTTAAGAAAATAAAGAAATTAGTTCAGATGAATTGTATGTATCATGGAATATATAAGCATATTTGGTTCAAATAAACAAAGCAATAATTTAAACGATCACAAATCTTGCATCAGACTAATGAAAACCCTCCTCCTGTCATTGCAGTAAAAATTTTAATTCACCATCCTGTGGGACGTGGTGAAGTTAAACGGAAATTGTAATTCATAAACAGTCCCTAATATGAGAGCAGAAACCCTCCCCCGCACCCGCACATACATAAATATCCTGGTACATGTGAGGGGCACCTGCCGAGACCTTGACGCCTGGCAAAAGGCACAGTCAAGGGCTGGTCCCTTTGAGTGGCTCCCTCTGTGGAGAGAGAGACAAATCATCATCTACTGACCTGCACTTCCTGCGGCAGAAACTTTACTGGCTCCACGGCTGCCGCAACATCCACCTTATGGGCAGCCTGGGCTGCATAAAGCCTCCTCTGAAAATCAGAAAAGACATAACGCCTCTGAAGAAAAAGTGTCCAAAAGAGCAGCATAAAGAGAGGAAGAGCGAGGCATGGGACGCTACTAAATTATAATCCTACATTTGACACAAACAAAAGAGTAAATGAGAGAGCCACAGACCCTTCTTTTCATATGCGTGTAGGTTGAAGCCATCATGACACCAAAAATACGTTATAAAACATTCAAAGCTGTACAAAGTCATGGTTTCATTGCATAAAAAGCTAAAAATTAATTTAGAAAAAACAAAAGAAATGGATCACACACAGATATTCCAACATGGACACTGTTCAGTGGTGAAAACCAGGAACTCTAACTTATTAATGAAATAATGATTTTGCATTTGCAGTTTTGCACATATATACCTTAAATGTCCTACACTGCATAAAAATATTTGGATGTTCTATTTTATTTTTTCTAATATTTTCTGGTTTTTTATGTACTTGTTTATGCTCTTTTCTTAGTTTTGTTTTGAATTTATGTTCAAATACTAAATATATTTTTCTATGATCTTTATACCCATGTTAAATCTATTCCGTTAAAAGCATTTCACTACACGTTGTACTGAGTATGATTATGAGTGTGACTAATAAAATTGGTAACTTCATTGAATATTTGTCTAAAAATATGACTATTACAGTCATTTTAGCATAAATTAAACCTGTTTAATATCAAGTTTATGAACTTTTCACAGGTAGTGTAGTTGCAGGTCATCAAAAAAAGCTATAAACCCAAAAAGGGCTACAAGATTTAATGCACTGCATGACAACTAATACAAGGATAAATATTCAGTAATATAATAATCAGTAAACATTTCTCTCTACCCCATATTGTGCTGAATACACCAAATTCTGTCATTCTTCCTGCTCTACAACTTCCAACCTGAAAGTGCTGTCAAATCACCATGATGGTTAACTAGCAAACATTTTATACAAATTATATATACTTTAAGGGAACAGTCAAAAGAGACAAGTTAGAAGTTTCAAACTGGGGTCCAGCTGAGTGCTAGGGTCCATGGAAATGTTTCGAGAAAAAACTGCATAAACATTTTAAATAAATAAAAAATTACATTAAAATAAGGGGGGAAAAATAAATGAGTAAATAAATGTAAAAAACATTCAACTAAGAGTACTATAATAAGTATGAAAAACTTAATGTAACTTAATTGAAACTAAATATTTCCCAAATAATATTTGGACATACAGGTGCATCTCAAAAAATTAGAATATCGTGTTATATTTTTATAATATTTTTTTTGTAACTTATTTCAAAAAGTGAAACATTCATATAGATTCATGTAAAGTAAAACATTTCAAAAGTTCTTTTGTTTTAATTTTGATGATTAGAGCTTACGGCTCATGAAAGTCAAAAATCCAGTATCTCAAAATATTAGAATATTTCCTAAGATCAATCAAAAAAAGGATTTGCAAAACAGAAAAGTTCAAGTTCTTTAAAGTATTTTAATTTATGCACTCAATACTTGGTCGGGGCTCCTTTAGCACAAACTCCAGCATCAGTGAGGTGTGGCATGAAGCGATCAGCCTGTGGCACTGCTGAGGCACTATTGAGCCTTCAGCTCATCTGGATTGTTGGATCGACCGTTTTTCATCTTTCTCTTGAGAATATCCCATATGAGGTTCAGGTCAGGCATGTTGGCTGGCCAATCAAGCACAGTAATTTCATGGTCAGCAAACCCCTTGGAAGTGGTTTTGGCACTGTGGGCTGCTAAAGTCCTGCTGGAAAAGGAAATCAGCATCTCCATTAGGCTTGTCAGCAGATGGAAGCATAAAGTGCTCCAAACTCTCCAGGTAGATGGCTGGCTGCATTGACTTTAGACTTGATAAAACACAATGGACCAACACCAGCAGGTTCCATATGGGGTTCAGGTCAGGCATGTTGGCTGGCCAATCAAGCACAGTAATATCATGGTCAGCAAACCCCTTGGAAGTGGTTTTGGCACTGTGGGCAGGTGCTAAAGTCCTGCTGGAAAAGGAAATCAGCATCTCCATTAAGCTTGTCAGCAGATGGAAGCATAAAGTGCTCCAAACTCTCCAGGTAGATGGCTGGCTGCATTGACTTTAGACTTGATAAAACACAATGGACCAACACCAGCAGACGTCACAGCACCCCAAATCATCACTGACTTCGGAAACTTCACACTGGACTTCAAGCAGCTTGGATTCTGTGCCTCTCCAGCCTTCCTCCAGACCTTGATTATCCAAATTAAATGCAAAATTTACTTTTATCTGAAAAGAGGACTTTGGACCACTGAGCAACAGTCCAGTTCTTTTTCTCCTTAGCCCAGGTAAGACGCCGTTTCGGTTTTAGAAGTGGCTTGGTAGCCCTTTTCCTGAAAACGTCTGAGCGTGGTGACTCTTGTGGCGCTTTTCCACTGCATGGTACGGCACGGTATGGTTCACTTTTGAGGGGTTTTCCACTGGGTACAGTACCTGGTACCTGGTACTTTTTTCAGTACCACCTCGGTTGGAGTTCCAAGCGAACCGTACGGTTACCAAAACGTGATGTGTAAACTCTGCTGATCACGGATTGGCCGGAGAGAATCGTCACTACCTGCGTCACTGAACTTGCGACACAAACACAAAAGAAGCGCTAGATTTAAATCAGCACAGCCAGCGAAGGATCGAACGCAACTGTTTTGAACGAGCGCACCTTTTTTTAACAACCAAAAAGTGGCTGTTCCCCCTGTTGACGAAGTACAGACGTTCCTCTCGTTGATAGCAGAGGAGCGGATCCAGCGAGAGCTTGATGGGATGACGCGGAATGAAAAAGTTTTTTAGGAGTCGCGGCAGTAGAGTACCATACTGAGCCGTACCGAGCCGAGTCGTACCACGCAGTGGAAAAGCGCCATTGATGTGGTGGACTCCAGCTTCAGTCCACTCCTTGTGAAGCTCTCCCAAGTGTTTGAATCGGCTTTGCTTGACAGTATGCTCAAGCTTACGGTCATCCCTGTTGCTTGTGCACCTTTTCCTACCCAATTTCTTCCAGTCAACTTTGCATTTAATATGCTTTGATACAGCACTCAGTGAACAGCCACCCCTTTCAGTAATGACCTTCTGTGACTTTCACTCTTTGTGGAGGGTGTCAATGATTGTCTTCTGGGCCATTGCCAAGTCCGCAGTCTTCCCCATTATTGTGGTTTCAAAGAACAAGAGATACCCGGAATTTATACTGTAGGGATGGTCATTTAATGAAACTCAAATGTAAATATTCTAATATTTTGAGATACTGGATTTTTGACTTTCATGAGCTGTAAGCTCTAATCATCAAAATTAAAACAAAACAAAAAAAACTACAACTTTGAAACGTTTTACTTTACATGTAATGAATCTAGAATATATGAAAGTTTCACTTTTTGAAAT